ATATGAGATTTTCAAAAAAATTATTAGCTTATTAGTTTATCGATTTAGGTCATAGGGTACATTGGTCCCAACTCGGGACCGGAAAAAGTTATTAATTTAGAGAAGTTATTAATTTATAGAGTATTAAGTTATAAAGGTTTTACTGTATACATGTACATGTACTGTGTACAAGACAATTTCAACTAGTAATTATCATACAAATTTCGTAGCATTAATAATTCAAGTCTGTAATGTCTTGCGTATATTAAACTTTTTTTTTTTGGGGAAAAAAAGAGAAACAAGACCTTGAGTATATTAAAATATGGCCATGAACGTATGTAGTTTTTGAACTAATTTTGGGTTTTAGTTTTTTTTTTCCAAAATTTATTTTATAGCCATATTCAAGATATTGAAAAAACAAAATTTCATAAAAAATAGAGAATCTAGTCTTTGAGTGTTTCTTTAATAAATTTTCAAAGAAAAACCAAAATCCATTTTTTTTTGGCTTTTTCTTTCAAAAACCATCAATCACATTATAAATTTCTTTTATTTTGTAAAGGAAAAATAATCCATTAACATAAAAATCAAAAACTGAAATTAATTAACATTCAAATTTTTAAGAAAGTAAAATCTACACCAAAAATCCTAAAAAAAAACTCAAAAACTAAAAACCAAAAGCCAACAACCATTTTAGAAACTATATACTACACCCATTGCCATTAGTTGAGTCTTAGTTCAAACTTTTCTCAAAAAGTTTTGCTAAATCCTATGCAGTGTTATGGTATGAAATCTTCACATACATATAATAATAGCATTAAACTAAACATAATTCTATGTTAAAATTGAAAGTTTAAAGTTTTTTTTTTATTTTTGATTTTTAGAATATAAAGTTTCCCGTTTTAATTCTAATACAAAAAATTAAGTTATAATAAAAATATGTATGTGCGAAAATAAATATCAGATATATATATATATATATATAATATGCTTCTGTGCACACACGTGTCAACGTCTTGAGTTTTCACGAATTTCATTTCGTACTCGGTTCAAACTTTGAAGTCCACAATACTCGATCCTTAAAATTATCATGCTCTTTAAGGTATATATCTCACAAGTTTGTATTTTGTTTTTGGTTTTATAACTCAAGTATTAACATCATTACTGATTTAGTAACAAAGGGTCTTATTTCTAGCGCAAGGTATAAAATAACCTAATGATTTATGAACATGCGCATTTGGCAAAATAAATACTAAACCCATAATCCTCAGTGGAAAAAGTTTCAAGATACAACACCTTGAATGTAATTTGACTTTGATTTTTTTCTTTCTAGTTTTCATTAGTCGAAAGTAGAAACCAAGACATCGAAATTTTTAGCTAGGCACATCGTGCCTCACGAAATTTCGATTTTTTTACTGTCCCCCCTAACTTTTTTACTGTTACAACAACATTAACAATACCTCGTCATGATAAATATCGACCACACATAAAGAAGATAAGAATCTGATATATAAAAGAAGCAATGAAGATTAGTAACTTAATGATTGGATCACACTTATGTCATCAACACGTGTACATACTCTAGCTTCTATGTAGACTTTTCCTGGTCGACACAAATATCCTTTGGTCGGAGCACAATGTGCATCCTCCGAACATATACACAAACCCTCTAATGCACATCCATCTTTTATTATCGTCACATTTCCTTTGATTCCTAAGATCTGGTTGGTCCATTCACTTGAGAATAAACCCATTGGATCATAGCTTTCTTTAACTTTGAAGAATGCCGGCACGTTCTTGTACTTTTTAATCACTCCATCAAACGCTAAATTTCTGTTCTTACCCCAATGCGGCAAGGCGTTGTACTTGAACAACGCAATTTGCTCGATTTCTTCTATAAAATCTTCGTATAGTCGCGGTGCTAACGGATTTTTGGCTCGGTAATACGTGAGGTCAAAGTCTAAAGCTTCTGTTTCTTTCCCGAGATAGGCCGGAGAAGATGTGACATAACGCATTAGAATACCATCGTAGAGCTCAAGTACGCATAGAGATTTCGACTCTATCT